AACCCCAAACCACTGAACTCAGAACATTAAAATTAGATCAAAGGATTGAGAAGGGGGAGAGACACCACATTTAATAGTTTCATCAAGATTCATAGAACGAAATGGCCCACTTCCTTTCCCAACACTGTTTGCACAGGTGAGTGAAACTGCAAGCTAGGCCTCGGTCCCACGACTTGAGCCACCTCAGACAATTGAGCCGTTCCAATGCAAACAAGACACATTGTGGTACAGAAAGAAAGATAAGCAGCTGAAAACCAAAGGTGGGAGTCCTCAAATTCACCTTGGTGTTAAGTAAATACTCAAAAAACAATCCCCAAACCGCAACATGACTGTTAGCTGCAGAAAAGTTTCCCCACTTTTTCCCTCTGTTGCTGTAATGGAACAATTTACATAAGAAATTGGCTCCTGACGTTTCTTCAGGTCAGCGGCTGTGTGTGTGTTTGCAATCGTTGTGTGACTATTTCTGTTTGCGTGGCACATTTTATTAAACATCCAAGCCAAACATCTCCTCCCCCCACACCTTGAACTTTTATATTTTTGGCAGATTTGTTGAGCTTGTAAGGTCCTGTCCTCTTGCTTTGCTCACTCAGCTTTAAGTGGGGGATTCACATCAACTGAGAAAATGTTTTGGTAGGATGTTTAGATAACCCGCATTTGTATCTTTTCAACAAGACGAGGGAAATCACCGAAACCTACAAAACGAGAATATGTTATTTTCGATGCTTTTATTATATTTGTAGCAATAGTCTAGATGTTGCCAGCTTGGGTGGCCCTAATGAACCCAAACCTAAACCTCTAGCTTTGACAGTTTCTTGGTGTTTTTTACTCAGAAAGCGGCCTTCCTCTTAGCCACTGAGCAATCAATTTGTTTGCTTTCGTTGGATTTTAAGACGATGAAGATTGACTATGAGCTGGCTCTCATTTCAGCTACTGTTACTGAAATGTTTGTAGCTGCAGAGTGTTTGTTTTAGGTTTGAAATGCCAATAGTTTCGACATCTGCAAAGTAATTGATCGTCAACAACTCTATCAACCTCTTGTATATTTAAATGAGCCTATGAGAAAAGTTGTTGGTTCTTTAAAGTGGACCTATCATGCTATATTTGAATAATATAGTGTAGGACCATACCTATATAAGGCATATTTATACTTTTATTTTTTTCAAAATACCAAACAGATCATGCATTTTAGCCATGCCTCATTTTGCTCAATTTGACATTTTTTAGCTCTGTTTTAGCAAGAGCTGATTCTGTGAGAACAGCACCATCTACAGGCCTGGCATATGTACTACAGCGTCTCCAGCGCTTTCGAACGGCAATGTCCGTGGCTGTCTCCTCCTGATTGGTGGAGTTGGCCCAATAGCCGTAGCGCCACCGTCCTGACGTCAGGACAGTGTTCAAATCTGGATCAGTTTTTATCAGATCCGTTGCAGCCCCTTTTTTAGAGATTTGGGTATGGAGGAAAATAGAGAGGGTTGTGTTTTCTGACACTTGGTGAGTTCCCTGGAACACCGGGGACACATATTCATGTTTAAAAGACGTACAAAAGTGCATTTTGCATGATAGGTCCCCTTTAAAGTGAAAAAGAAGATTACAACACTCAGTATTCTTCTAACATTATCCAGTATACCACACAGATCATTCAAGGTCCTGTTTGGCAGGATAAATATCCTTGAATGACTTAGGCATGATGGGAAAGTCCCTGGTATTCCCAGGCTGTGTCTACCCCCATAAGCCCGGCCAAATAATTACTCCTCCACTGCCCAGCAATAACACAAAAACACCATAGGGTATAACCTCCAAGAATCGCAATTGAAAGGCAAATCACATTAGTCAAAATGAGTTTCCATTTCGAGTTTTGGCCACGAAGCAGTTTCTGATTTCCAAGGAAACTCCTGACTTTGGTTCTGGTTGTTCCTGTATCCTCCAATAACCCAATGATCAAAATACATTGAACGGAAAATAGCAATCTAATTTACTGAACAAATGTTTTCTCATTGACCCAAGGCAAGAGAAGCGGATACGCTAGAAATTCTTCATTTTGTTTATTATGTCTAGACATGATTCTCGAATAGTTATATTTTCTGTAAGTGCTGGGAACTGATTCAACCAAAAAGGTAAGCTAAGATAACAAGTCAGTGTTTAGTCTGGTTCCCATTACACAATGTTTCAAACTGACACTTTTTTGCAGTCAACAATGAGGGTAAAACCCCCCAAAAAATCACATGCATATGTTTGGATTTTACAGAAGTAGTGAGCTTGGGATGAAATGCAGCAATAAGCTAGTTAATTCCTTTCAATATACCTACCGTTTTTAGTACAACTAAAATATGGTAAGCAAGGCATTCTTTCTTACCATTGGGGTACATGCAGTTTAAAATAGTAGAACGCTTTTTTTACATTACATGTCACTTGTTAGACGCTTTTATCCAAAGCGTCTTACATACTCAATACTGTGGGCTATCCCCACAGGAGCAATTTGGGGTGAAGTCTCTTGCCCAGGGACACAACAACATGCTGACTGCAGTGGGGTTTGAACCTGTGACCCCCTGATCCAAACACCGACGCACAACCCACTGCACCACACGCCTCCCTTTTTGAGATTTGTTTTCGAACCCCCTGGTCCACCAACAAGTAGTGAGAAGTGTAGCGCTATACCCATCAACCAACAAGTTTGTCAATATGTTTTTAACATGCAGTAAGCTAGCAAAGACAAATGCTATAATTAAACTTCATTGGATGACAGAGCACTTGAAGATTAGATGAAGGTCCAACATGAACGACACCAAAGGCTTAGAAATTGACACCATTGACACTTTGAATTGCCGTGTGCTGAAAGGTGCTATATAAATAAACTTGCCTTGCCTTGCCTTACCAGTATTCAATAACCTTAATACCTTGCTAAGGTTGACCATTTTATTCACATAACACCTCAGAAGACTGGGAAATAAATTCTTATCCAGCCTGTTCCGACCCCTTTGAGTGGACGACATGTCAATGGAAACTCTCCAATAAATTGAATTCGAGCTAATCCCTGTGGATACAAAAATGGTGTTGACCTTCTGCCCTCTTTAGAGTAAAAGCAGGCCAGTTCCAGTACAGTATAATGCTGTAACATGAGTTAGTCCACACCTAGAATAACATTCAGTCAGCCTGGCACTTTATTGTAAGTAAGCATCATCCTCTAAACAGGCCTCTAGCTTTACCAGTCAATTAGCTCATTTCCCATGTGTCATCTCTCCGTTAAACTCGTTAGCTAACAGATGACCTGCTGACTGGTCACATCATGCCGGAAGCCGTCTCCCCCTTAACGCTCACACTTAATAAAATGGCCTTACATAAACAGTCTGCTAAGAAGAAATTAAAGTAGCTACATAAGGAGTTTTTTTGTCCAGTTTTATGGAGGTGTCCCTGGGGAAACTAGGACCTTTTTCCCCAGCCTTCAGGGTCTCATTCAGGATACAGGAGGGTGCTAAATTACACACCAGACCACGCCACCTGCCTCTTTTATCTCAACAGGCCCCTTATGTGTAGTAGAGGCTAATCAGGTTAATGGATTTGGGTTACTGCCCCAGTGTTGTTTGTGAAGAAATCAATGCATTTGGAAATTAGCTATGAGCTCAAATCTGGCATAATTCATCTCTTCTCTTTTCTGAGATTAATGTATTTGTATGCATAGTCCTTGTTGAAATACATACATAATAATTAATGATTTGACACAAAGTTAAGAGACTGGGCCCCACCAAAAGGGTTTTATGTTTTCAGCATTTTATGTTTCATGAAGTCAAGTGTTTAAATCAACATACAGTTTATAGCCTACTGATGTTTTAATCCTTGAACCCTACAGCTTTACATTTGGGAATAGATTTTAAACTGCATTCGAAACGCTGATATCGTTTTATTGTTTTGCTATTTGACATGCAGATAGCCCTTACCAATCTCTTCAAATGTTAGTTTATATTAAAAGCAAAAGACCCTGGGAACATAGGGATTACCCTGTATGTGCAACCCAGTCTCACGTCTTTTTGTCCGGTTGGGTCTTGGAAGACCAGAAGCTGTGTGGTTCATAAAAACATTTTCTTACTCAATATCAAGCCAAGATTATTGTTTTTATTTTAAATTGTATAATGTCAGACTTTATTTGCCGTCCGCGAGGAAAAGAAATGGCTCAGAGCCTCAGAATACTGAAATCTGTATTTTTTTCCTTCTAATTTGTTATTATTTGGTGCAGGCACGACATACTACCAATAGAAATACATTGCTTTTAAAATCGGTGAACACGAATCAATAGATTAATTTCGTGACTATAACACGAAATGCCGTGAGACTGGGTTGGTATGTGAAACATAGAGGGGATGGTCCCTATTCTTTATAAAATGTTGGCTTAAATTTCCCTCAAAGTAGGCTATTATTGAAAGTGGGAGGATTTACTAGCTTGCTATCTGTGGCTATCACGAGCTAAATAGCCTTCTAGCTGTTGATAGCAACACACAAGTTATATTTCTTCTATTAAATAAACAAAAAAAACATTACTTGTTTTAGAAATAGTTGCAGCAGAAAGTCACTGTAACGAGTTAAACTGTTGTGTTACAACATACAGTACAGCTTGTTCTTGCTGTGGGGCTAATGTCTTTACCCCCTGTCGTTTTTGGCTAACAATGCTGTATTTTTCTTGTTTGACTGCTCTACCATATGGAGGTCAGTGTGTGTCTGATAGACAGCTTAGGGCTTGAAATTTGGATTTAAACTCTAGCTGAACAAATCGTTTTTATCTAACACACACAAAGAAATAACATATACAAATAGCTAGTCATTTAAGCTCCCTGCTAACTTAGACTAAAGGTGCATTAGCTTCATAGCTCTAATGCTAGCTGTATTTTGGTTAGCATTGAGCCACTGAAAGGGTATTTGTTGCCTACTATTGTTCTATTTGTTGTGTTTTAACCAATTCATGTGCACTTATTATGACAGTTGAACTCAATATTTATTTATGTGTGTCTTAGGTCTGGGAGTGTGAAGAATCACTGGGAGGAAATCTACTTCTTTGTGGAGATGTTAGCTGAGAAATTCAAAAGGTAAGATACTCTTTATTATCACGTTCATGTTATTACACTGATGCCATCAAATATGACCGAAAAACTGTGGATTTTACGTACGTTAAATGTATAATGTAGCATTTTAAAGGACATCCAAAAGTCTCTCAACACTTAAAAGCCCCTCTGTGCCGGGCTTCCTGTAGCCCTGAGATGTAAATCACTGAAGAGAAACACACACTTCACGCAGCAGTTCGCCCGGCGGAATAAAATAAATATATGTCCCTACAGCTACAGTCGGCCATATGCTATGTCACTTACTGTAGCATGCAGGCTGATGTTTAACTGTGTGTGTGTGTGTGTGTGTGTGTGTGTGTGTGTGTGTGTGTGTGTGCAGAGACTACAGGCAGGAAGGTTTTTGGATGTGAGCAGCTTTAGTTTTACAGCCTTTTTAGATTTAGAGGACTGCATGCTTTCAATGGACAAAGCCTTAAGTGTGTCAACTTAGATCGCTTCGCCTAAATGTGACTCAGATTTGACATTGTATAATAGGGATTGAACAATAGGAAGCACTGTTGGATCATTGTACACGTCTTGAAATGAAACAATCAATCACCTTTTTTTTGTATAGAAACTTTCATACATAAAATATGACATAAAAACAAAACAATACAAAAAAAAGTTCATAAAATAGACAGAAAGATCAAATACAATGGTACATTTGAAAACATAATACATTAACAACACACAAATTGTAACTGCCTTAAGAAGGGATTGATGGATGTACGGATGGATGGATAGAAAGATAGATAGATAGATAGATAGATGGATGGATGGATGGATGGATGGATAGATAGATAGATAGAAAGAAGGATGGATAGATAGATAGATAGATAGATAGATAGATAGATAGATAGATAGATAGATAGATAGATAGATAGATAGATAGATAGATAGATAGATAGATAGTACCACAATCTTATTTCAAAACAATTCAAGATTGCGAAATAGAATTCCAACATTTCTGCAGATGTCCTTCAGCTCGTGGGTGGTTTTGTTTTGTCCGTGCCACTCAAACACCTGGAGCTCTGTGTTGCAGAAACAGCAAAGACACTTTTTGCATCAAACTCCGAAAAATCTGCATTCATTTACTTTCTCTCACAAACACTGCAACACATTTCCAAAAAGACTTCAAAAAGTTGTGCATGTGTGTATGTTTACATTCATGTAATGCCTTCCATTTTCACCATTAAACAATAATACCAACTTTTGTCCACATCTGAGGGTGCAATGAGTTTGTTTGAATACTAACATTTTAGTCACGCACAGAAACCGGCACAAACCAAAAAGATATGTTGCGACTCTTCTGTCTTTGTTTGTTGTGATGCATTCAACAAGCAATTCGTACACATGTTGGAGTGACCTCAGAGGCAGTAAAGTCCACAATGAGATATTTATTGTTTTAACGGAACCCAACTTTATTTGTGTGTCATGAAAGTAAATCAGTTTTTTTATGTTTCTGAGTAACTCTTGCAATGTTTCTGATTAATAACAGATGTAGAAATTATATTACAACGTTGTGGACGGTGGGAAATCACCTACCAGCCATTCAATTCTGTTGCATTTGGTCTAGCATGTATCATCATCAATAATTAGATCTGCTGGGACTTTCTCATGCACAATGTGGGCTGTTGACGTCTGATAATTGTTCTTCTGTTCCAGTCCCATGCTGAGGATGTCCTTCATTACATTCTCCTCCAGAGCGTCAACCATCATGAAACTGACCGAAAACAGGTATATTAATCATCACTGAAATGTGTTGTGGTGATTTGTGTTATGAATAAATGTTATTCTTGCGAAAAATGCTCTTACACAAGAGGAACAATCAGCTGTAAAGTAAACTCTCTGTTAAAACCAGAGTGAAAACAGATGCTCTCTGAACTGACATGAAGCAAAAAAATTGGCCCCCGTCATAGTGTTGTTGCACAAAGATAAATGTTATTATGTGAGAAGTAATATCGTACAAACTGTGTCTTGACTTCCAGCAGAATAGTCTACATCTTGCTTTAGTGCTACATTACTGTTAAGTTAACAGAATCAGGTGAAAAAATAAAGCCTTATCTGGTATTCAAATGTCTTAAACCATCTTTCAAAAGTCTAAGAAATTATGATTTAGGATTTAATTAATCATTTTTTCTGAAGTACTTTGTAAAGGTTTGACATGTATGGAAGGTTCTTTTCGATTTCTTCAATTAATGTCACAAGAGCGGAAAATAGTGTGCAAACTAAGTCTTCAATTTCATTCCGAGTGGCAATAAAAAGGTCTTAAATCTAACTTTCCTTAAACTGTAGGAACCCTTTTTAAGGATGGAGACATAAAGTACATACTGTAACTACACTCTTGACAACTATCATAATACAAATGCAGATAATAATAATAATAATAATAATACAAATGTGTCTTCACAAAAACATCTTGAGCAGCTTATAAATAAAATAAAAATAAATAAACTTGCCTTGCCTTTCTGATTGAAACCAACTCTGGTGTGTTCTTGTGTGCAGAGTGGAAATCAAAAAGGGTCTGAACAATCTGGAAAAAGAGAGACCTGGTGGAGACACATTCATGAACCTTGGCCTGCAGAGGGTGAGCCTTTTTCTTAATGTATTGTTGTGGCATTGAACTAGTTCAAATGTGTAACTTGTGTATGAAACTGTCTTCTTCTTTAAAGGCAAACGAGCAGATAACCCAGGAGAACTTTGGTATGCATCAAAATAGTTCTTTCAATACTTTCTTTAAGCTAAATTGTGCATTATGTTGACGTTAAAGCATGTTTTTATGCTTTTCCCAGGCACGGCCAGTGTGATTATTGCTCTGACAGACGGAGAGCTGCAGGAACATCAGCTCATCACCGCGCAGCAAGAGGTATCAAAGCCAGACCTGCAGCTCCTGGAAAATAAAGATTTAAAAGCGTATAAATGCCAGTTTTCTGGAACTAATTCAGTTTATTGCTTGTGTTTTTCAACAGGCAGAAAGAGCCAGGTCTCTTGGAGCGATTGTGTACTGCGTCGGTGTCAAGGACTTCAATGAGACTCAGGTAATGCCAATACATTAAATGTGTGACGCTTCTTTTACACTTATATCTCCTAAAAGTTAAGGTTTAAAATAAAGCAAACATTTCCAAAATTGGGATCTACCTATCTATCTATCCATCCATCCACCCACCCATCTATCTATCTATCTATCTATCTATCTATCTATCTATCTATCTATCTATCTATCTATCTATCTATCTATCTATCTATCTATCTATCTATCTATCTATCTATCTATCTATCTATCTATCTATCTATCTATCCATCTATCTATCTATCTATCTATCTATCCATCTATCTATCTATCTATAAACACAATACCATACAAGTGCTCAGGAATCCAGACGTGTGGAAATGCTGTTATGTCGTGTCTTCAGTGGCCCCTGTGCAATCTGGCTAACCCATAATTTAAAGTTTCCTGAAAACCAATCCAAGAGATATTTTTGTTCTGACCTTGAGCTTCCTCTCAGGATGCCAACACACAAAGTTGGAGTGGAGAAATGTCTGTAACTTGAATAATACTCAACAATTAGCTTCAACATGATGAGGAAAGGATGATTCAGTGTCCTGGAAGTTAAAGATATTTGAGAGGATATGAGGCCCAGTCAACCTTCAGTAACCAGACGTGGTCTCACTAAAGTTTACTACAAGATGCATTTGATTGATTGTAAATGATTGTAGATAATGTGTGGTCATTACTGGTTTTACAAAGTGTGGGTGCAGTTCTTCATTGAGATTTTCCTGTTTATTATGTATGAAATTGTGTCACACTTGTACATTTTGGGCCAATTTTTGCTTGTTAGGAAATGTCAAATTTTAGCTGTTGGTTTTCTGGATAATTTTACAAACGATTGGGAATAAGAAAATAGCAAAACGGTGTATTTCCATTAACTACTTTGGAGCTAAGAAACCAGGCAGCTTACAATCGTTTTGTTAGAAGTTGGTAGTCTATATGCATGGCTGTAATCTGCCCACAATAAAAGAGTAGAAGAAGAAGTTGAGGTTGTGAACTGGGAAAAAAGAGAGATCTTCAGGATTTAGTTTTAATTGGGAAAATGTTAGTTGTTCCTTTATGTCAGCTTGTATTGGCAATATTTCATGCTGTCCTGAGACAAAGATAATAAATATATATATATATATATATATCTGGGAATACACCAACAACTCGTTTGGTTACTTTGAAAGATCTGTCCAGGGACGACGGATAAAAAAAGCCTCTTGACTAACTCTGGCACATTTACAGCAATGTTGAATAATGGGCTTTGTCCCTTTTAAAATAACATTAAAAATAATTTTAAAAAACAGTAATTTTAGTTTAAAGATTGCTACGTCACAACTGATTCAGCAAAGTTGTTTCCGTAAACCAATTCTGAGCATTACGTTTAAAAAAAAGAATCAAAAATATCTCAAGTGAGCGTAGAATCGTCTTTGCACAATGGAGGAAGTAGTTCTAATTCAATGTTACTTCAAAATATGCATAACATGTGTTAATGGGAACACGGCTAATGTCAACCACCTGTGAATACTGGAAGTGAAATCCTGTCTTAACACACTTTCATTTCATTTTTATTTGTTCCATGAAAATAAAAATGAAATGAAAGTGTGTTAAAGGGGACCTATCATGCAAAATGCACTTTTGTACGTCTTTTATACATGAATATGTGTCCCCGGTGTTCCAGGGAACTCACCAAGTGTCAGAAAACACAACCCTCTCTATTTTCCTCCATACCCAAATCTCTAAAAAAAGGGCTGCAACGGATCTGATAAAAACTGATCCAGATTTGAACACTGTCCTGACGTCAGGACGGTGGCGCTACGGCTATTGGGCCAACTCCACCAATCAGGAGGAGACAGCCACGGCCATTGCCGTTCGAAAGCGCTGGAGACGTTGTAGTACATATGCCAGGCCTGTAGATGGTGCTGTTCTCACAGAATCTGCCCTTGCAAAAACAGAGCTAACATTTTTCAAATTGAGCAAAATGAGGCATGGCTAAAATGCATGATCTGTTTGGTATTTCTTTGGTAAAAAAAAAGTATAAATATGCCTTATATAGGTATGGTCCTACACTATATTATTCAAATATAGCATGATAGGTCCACTTTAAGATAGGATTTCACTTCCAGTATTCACAGGTGGTTGACATTAGCCGTGTTCCCATTAACACATGTTATGCAATGTTCATGGTATGCACAACTTAATGTATAACAATTATTTACAAAGCCAATCATAACAGTATCGTATAGGAAAACAAAAACGTACAAAAAAATACTTAGTTCCCACTTGACAGTTAACGGAAAGAAACAAAACAAAAAAACCACAACACTGAAACATCACATGTACAATGAACTTATTCAGTCAATTGTTCAATCATTGTTTCGTGAATTGATTCCTATTTAATGTGGTTACTTACCTCTCTTTCCTCACCTCTCCCTCTGAAGCTGGCCACCATTGCGGACACCATCGAGCACGTGTTTCCTGTGATGGGCGGCTTCCACGCTCTCCGAGGAGTCATCGATTCGGTAAATAAACTCTTCTTTGTGCCGGAGAGACTTCCTGAAGCTCAGTCGAACAACACAGGTCCACGTCCGTGTATTTATCTATGAGTCTGTCCTGCGTTTGGACAATTATCTTTTATTACTCCCTCGGTGAAAACTGACTTAAGTTTGAGTGCACAGAGCACTTTGTTCTTCATCAGGCACCTCATTGTTTTGCATTGTGTAAGAGTTTAAAAACAGAAATACTGATTTATAGTAAATGGACACAGTTATAATCAAAAGTAGTTGTTCTTACTTTTGAACTGTAAGTCTTTGTATACACTGAAACACATATTTACAGAGCAAAGTAAGCCCACTACAACATGTGTTTCTCATGAAATAAGACAATGTTTTCACCAGATTCCCGTTGAGTCTAATATAAAATAATATATACTATATAAAGCACAAGCCCTACCACATTTAGTTACTGTTCCTAACATGGCACCACACATATGCAGTGTTATAAACTCAAATGTAAATGAAATATCAAAGAATATAACAGTATTTAATTCACATTTTCACAAAGAAACTAAGAAAGACTTGGAGCCATGTTGTTTATTCAAATGAACTGAAATGTAGGAAATAACTCAGATGGAAAATCGACATTTTATATTTCCCTCTAATGTTTGTGTGTGTTCAAAACAAGTATTGCATGTTTTACAAAGTTGGACACACAATAAAACATGAAACGGAAAGCCTTAGAACATTTTTTATTGTACTGTTGATGACCAAGTGTAATTTGTTAAGCTGTACTAAAGATGTCAGCAACAGTTTAATTGTAGAAAATAACTTTCTCCTCGGTTTTTTCCTCCAGATCATCAAGAAATCCTGCATTGAGATTTTGGCGGCCGAGCCCTCCAGTGTGTGTGCAGGAGGTGGGGAAACACCACACACACACACACACACGCACACACGCACGCACGCACACACACACACACACACACACACTCACACACACACACACACACTTTAAGCTGTTTTGTGTTGGTGACACAGTTAAATGTTATGTAACCCAAACCTAAAAGAGAAAGCAATTCAGAGTTTGGATACTGCACTTCTAACAATGCTGAGTTAGAGGGATGACAAAAGTACACACATCCTTTCCTCAAGTAGAAGTACAGATACTCGTGTTTAAAGATACTCTGGTAAAAGTAGAAGTACTGACTAAACTTCTTTACTCAAGTGAAAGTAAAGAGGGCTTTGAAATGTACTTCAGTAAAAAGTACCCATAACTAGCAGCTGTTTTAAAGAGTACCTGACCTCCCTTTATATTAATAGAACAATAATGTCATTGTTAGCTAATGAATGTTTCCATGCTGAACAACGGCAACATGACAACGTTTTCATTGGTCCCTCTTCTTTAGAGAAGACCAGGAAATGATGGATACACGGATCGTGTTCAAATCAAAAGGCACGCAATGACTCTAAATAATAATGATCACGCCACCAGACACACATTCAAACTAAAGGAACCAGCCTGTTTGGGAAATGTAAGAAGTAGAAAGTACAGGTATTTGTGTTCAACATGTAAGAAGTAGAAAGTACAGGTATTTGTGTTCAACATGTAAGAAGTAGAAAGAACAGGTCTTTGTGTTCAACATGTAAGAAGTAGAAAGTACAGGTATTTGTGTTCAACATGTAAGAAGTAGAAAGTACAGGTATTTGTGTTCAACATGTAAGAAGTAGAAAGTACAGGTATTTGTGTTCAACATGTAAGAAGTAGAAAGTACAGGTATTTGGGTTCAACATGTAAGAAGTAGAAAGTACAGGTATTTGTGTTCAACATGTAAGAAGTAGAAAGTACAGGTATTTGTGTTCAACATGTAAGAAGTAGAAAGTACA